CTTATCTCACAGAGGCCAAAAGAAGATTGAGGAGGGAATACAGGCATATGCAGGAGATAAATTATACCAGGTCACTCAGATAAACATAAATAATTAGAGAAAACAGATTAAAACCTTCTGTCACATGTGTACAGTGTGGGTGACATATTTTGTCAGATTTTTTCCATCCCATGAAAAAAGTCAGCAAGTCTGCTGGAGAGTGGGTGTTTTGTAGAATGAATCAAAGGTGTCTAGAAATGGCAATACAGAAATCTAGCAAAATTTTACTTTTCTGAAACATGCTAAAACTAAAAGAGGAGAAACTATGCTCGTGAGACTGTAGCAGGCGTTACACTCTTCATTCCAATACCACAATTGACTTTCATTCACGTACTGCCAGGAGCAAAATTCTCCTCAATGTTATGTATCAGTTGTTACAGTGGGACAAATATTAATGCTCTCTTCCCTCTCGTTTTGAAACAGCTTTGATGTTATTACTTGAGAAAGGAGGCATCACTGATTTCTCCCACCTCCCTGCACCCTGTAGTCACTAACCAAGGGCTGAGATACTCACTGGTATTCTCTGCAGCCTCTTTCGCTACAGGAAAGGAAGTGACTAACAAAATAAAGTTTGTCAGGAGTCCCTATGCTTGGAGGAAGATCAAGAAATGTAATCAAGCAAGTATGAATTTCAACACAGTCCAACTCTTGGGAGGAAGGAATCTGTATGGTTTTCAGGCCATCCAAACCAAGCCCGGGCAGACTGAGTCAGTCAGCAAGCCATGTAACATGAGTTACACTAGCAGAAGGCTCAGACATTGCTAATTCACTTAAAGCAGCAGCAAGAAGACTCTTCTACTTGGTAATTAGCAACGAAATTGCCCATGGAACCACAGTCTACGGCATCCTATAGCTAGGAGATTTTAAAATTAGTGGGTTAGGTTTTTGGTTTTTTTCTTTTTAGTTTCTACATAGGGATAGCTTATGATTTTGCGGAGGATTAGTTTAATTAAGTTGATCATCAGCTTGTATACAAACTAGAACTGACACAATGCTTGGGGTTTGTGCACATGCCATGGAACCTCAACATGTTAGAAGGCCAAACATGCCGTACACAAGTAATCTATTAATTAGATTAATTTCTAGGGGAACATCAAGCTCTCATTTCTCTTTCTCTCTCCTAGCATTTCCTGGAAAAGGCTGTTTCTCTTCATGAGAACACTACTTTACCACTCTGCACTTCTATAAATAATTCCATGACCATGATTAGATAAGTCCCCCTTTTCCAGGATGACCCTCCTACACAGCCTATGGAGTTTCTCACTGTCCCACCCACAGATCCCTGCTTTGCTGGCTGAATCTCTGACCAGTGCACAAACACATGTTTCTCTGGTCAAAAAGCAAATGGGATTCCCTGCAGAGCCTTTATGACTGTCCAGCCGCCTGGAAGAGTTTAATGCCAAGCAAGCCAACACCATCCCTCCCCCTCAGGGAACACATCAGCCTGCGAGATGAGTAAGTAGGAAACATTGCAGAAATGGGGAGCGTAAGTGAGCAGAATGAATCCCCATGTTCTCAGTACTACAAGGTCTGAAAGAAGTAGTAGTATGTGAGAATGTGCTACTGTCACTTATGGGATATGAAAGCAGTATCATCACTTTTGGCCAATGATTTGAGAAATGTTGAAATAAAATTTGTTCTTCTTTTGGACAAAAAGCATATAAACAAGATATGTCTTAATGTACAAGGTCAGCCTGACCTTTCTAATAGATTACCATTTTTCAAGCAGTTTTCTTAAATCCTCATTTCTTAAGGGTATTTTACCAAGGTACTGCAAAAGCTAGAAGTAAACTAATTTGCTCAAAGTTTGTGAAAAGCACAAAAATAAACTTCATGACCAATTCTTGCCATGTGCCAGAAAATTCATATTTTGAGTAAGTCTCAAAGACTAATAGCTAAATACTTATAATCATTAAAGCAGTATTTGCCAGTACAGTCAAGAGCCCCAGGTTTAGATATTTCATAACTAAAAATAAACATGTAAATGAAAATTCACTAATCATTTCAAGAGTTTTTTTCTATGAGTTTATGTATCCTTAGAATTTGCATTAGGGCACCAAGGGAATTACAATCATCCTGTTATCTTCAGGCAGCTAATCACAGCTGACCAGGAATAAACACTACAAATTTAATATTTAGGACATTAATAAACCAGTTTAAAATAGATTCTGTAACTGCTATGTGTAAGAGGGACATAAACAATTGTTAGTCTCCAAGAACATATATCTAGTTGAATCATTTACAGGAATGATTATTAGCCTGTCCTAAACTGTATGTATAATGTAGACAATTACTTTATTATCTTTCTCTTTAATTAGAATTATATTTTTTTCTAACTTTCATTCTTGACCTACTGAACAATGACAGCAATGCCATAATTCCCTAGACATGCTTAAAAGAAAAGAAAAATTCTTGCTTGAATTTTAAGTCTTTTCTTCACTACGCCCAGTGTTAGTTTTTAAATTCTTCTCCTATTTTGTTCTTCCAGAGTACTCTAAATCTACAATTTTGTGCACATAAATCTTGATACCAGCAAACAATGTAGCTCTGCTCTTTACTCCCCTTACAGGTGTCCACTGCCTTGGAAACATGACAATAGCCGGTAGGACTGACAAGATTCAAGGTGGACTAGCAGAAAGTTCTTCTGAATAGAAGACCAGAAAAGAATACACTAAATGCAATTACAAAAAAATTGTGTGTCAGTTTTTCTTCTCCATGGTTTGTTCAGCTTTACTTAATTGGTTAAAAACACTGAGTAATCCATAATACAATGCTGGTTTCTTTTATAAAGAAAAAGAAATCCTATAAAAATTGCAGAATGAAGTTTCTTAAAACCTAACACATCTAACAAGGAAAACAAATCAAATTCAGAGCACCAAAACCAACAAATCAGTCATTCATTTTACGCAAGGGATTATAATATGTGGCTGCCTGTGGTAGCAGGAGGCTGAGTTCAATAACCTAGGAGAACCCTGCCAGTCTTATTCCTATCTGGGTAACTTCTTGACAGACACTGCAGGTATGGAGTGCAAAAACACCACAACAAAACAATCCCCACCACCACTAAACCAGTGGATTTCTGTACTTTTCCTGCCAAGAGAAGGCAAACAGGGTCTTCTTGTATATGCATGGATGCTGTTTGCATCTCTTTCGCATTTTAACAAATACCACACTGATCACGACCTGTACAATGTATATATAGAAAGTGGAGGAAAATATTTTTTTATTGTGAAAAGTATTTAACACACAGTAGTAAAATACAGATATTCTATTAATGTTTGTCTCCATGAGAATTCTAATATGTATTGTAAACTCTGAATTATTCTAGCTCTTCTTGAAGCAGCTATTATTAAGCATCTAAACAGTCCTCCTTAATCTAATTGCATAAGTTAGCAATTCAATTTTACATTTGCTGTTTAGTTGTTCACATTAACCTTTAGACCTCTTCAATGAAGGGACATGTTTTTTAACTAAGAGTAGCTCAGTAGTATGACAGCACCAATACTGTATTTCATCATCAAAGATTCAAAAAGACTACAACTACCCACTGATTAAGGCTCAACTTTTTAACTTTGGGAATAATTCAGCCTTTATTTAAATTTAAACCTAAGATGTATTAATTTTTCATTTGTGAGAGTTCACTCCATCAGCAGGTTCCATTAAACTAATACTAATTAAACTAATCTACATTAGTTTAATTAGCAAAGAAATTAAAATTACTTGGGACTCTCCAGGTTAAGATATTCTACAATGTATGAATTCCAGTATTTACTATCAGAGTATCAAACTCCATCATTCAAGATGGAGTTTTGTCTTGCCTAGATTTCTCATGTAATGATACCAAAGCTACCAGCACTGGCAATTTAAGAGTTATGAAGTTCTCATTATACTCACAATTACTCATATGTTGTGGCATAAATACACAGTCGTACCCTTAATCACACCCAAGCAACTAGTAGTAAAGCAACTGAACTGCACGGATATAAGGACATTTTGCACGTAAAATTAAACATGTATTTATCTAATATATTTATATACTCTATATATATTATCAACAATGCCCCACCATCACTATCGTACCAAGGAATGTGTTAGATAACATACACAAGTTACAAACTGAGTAGACTTAGAGAAAACACTGAACACGTTGGCATTTTTACAAAGACTTTTTTCAAATCAGAACCATAATGACTTTCTAGACCAGTTAAATGTTACAATTAAGTATTTGAAGAAAAAAAACTAATATATGCAAAGCAATCCACACTGCACCTCAAATGAAAAAATAATACAATAACTTCTCATCTACACATAACATTTTGTTCACGTGACACTGTTAAAAAACTTGAAAAATAATTTGTTGGGAATAAGAGCTACTCATTAAAGCATTTAATATTGGTTAACATAGAAAACAAACAAACAAAAAAGTATGATCTGCATCTCCAGAACAAGTGAACAGCCATAGATCCAACAAATTTAAATACCAGTTGCACAAGCAAGGGGCTAAAAAAAAACCAAAGAGGAGACACCTCCAGCCCTACGTATTTCTGCATTCTAACCAGAGAGAAAATTCTTTGCAACACGGAAGATTAGGAGATGTGTTCCAGCAGAAAGCAGCTGCCGCTTTTTCAATTCACTGCAAAGCAAGCCTTTGCCATACTTATTACGTTGCATAAAAGTTCTTCCAGAAATTTTTCTGGACAGAATCATTACTACTACTGAAGTTGCTTTAATAATCTGTAACCACCCACAGAACTGTTTTCTAAACTACTCTCAATGTGTTGCTCACTGGTTTCTACAGTAAATTAAGAAACAGCTCTCATTATTTCAAATAAAAATACCACAAGAAGTACAAGAAATAAGGCAGTGATGAAGAGTAAGGTCATTTTTAATGTAAAACCTTTAGTCAAATACATATTTCAAAACTTTTTCAGAAACATTACATTCTTAAAAGGAAATCATACCTGATACTCTTCTGTTGTATCGGTTAACAACTGGAGCTGCAAAAAAAAAAAAAAAATTACAAATGCTATTTATTATTACAAATTCAAAGTCATCATCTTGAATAATCATGACACATTTTTACTACACAAACGCCAAACTTCTTAAAAAAAGCTTCAATATAAAGCTCTCATCCACTTACTTGCCAGCTAATAAGTGTTTATTCAAAGTTAAAACTTTATTTTCCAGAAGGCCATTACGTGCTAAGATGGAGGGTAGGCAGTTTTGTATTTGTTTGGGTTTTTTACCCAATTCTGAAAAAATACACCTCTACAGATGTTACCCAATCTTAACCTATCATCAATTCCCAGCCCACTCTGCATTATGACAAAACATTGAAGCACTTTTAAGTTAGCTATACCTACTTAACACAGATCAAAAGCTGATGGAACTTATTAGCTAAACCATTCTATACTCCTTCACAACACCAGCCGTCTAACTGTTCAGGCAGTGCTCCCACAACTCCAGTCATCTATCCTTGACCAAGGCTATCTTCCATAAGGGCACACATTTAGATTGAAAAATTCTGAGATGGAGGATCCATTGTTTCATTGCTGCTTTGTTCATGCTCTTAGATACACAAGGTATTTAAAGTTTAACTCTAATTTGGGATGAACTTCCTGATTTTCACTATTCACACACATTTTGACATTAAGCCAACCTTTAGTAAACAGTATTCTTTCCCCCTTTCACTGTAACCAAGTTACTGTCTTTGTGAGTTACTTCAGTCTCAACACAAAAAATGATCAACCTGTAAAACTTCACCCAGAACAAACCCAAAAGCCCATGCTCCCCTTCATTGCTAACAACCAAAGTAATTTTATTCTGAATGCTTCATGCTTTCCCATTCCTCTTCCCCTCAACTGATAATTGGATTTTTCCTGATACAACCAGTGACCTTTCTCTTCCATTCTTTAAACACTTACGAATTAGATGAGCCTTTATGCCACATCAAAGCATGTGCATCACAGAGACAGATTTATTAAACACATACTACCAAAATCCTAATGATCCCATCATTTCTTAGAAACTTCTGAGTATCTCAGTACCACGAGAATATGAAGAACAATGCTTACTTAAGCAAACACAAAAGAACTCAGCTTCTTTTGAGCATTTACAAACACCTTGTGTCTACATTAAAACACATAACTGAGAACAATACCAGAAAAACAAGATCAAAATTATCATTGTGTATTCTTTTGTAATGATAAAGGAAAGAAGAGGTTGGGAAGAAGAATATCAGGCTAACTTCATGGAATTTTCAGCCAAATCTAGCAACAAGGAGACAATACTCAGCTTAACAAGAAGGTAAGGATTAAAAGCAAAATTATTTTGAATTTTACAATTTAGATTGGCATAATTCTTAATTCATAATTCTTATAAAAATAACATTCACGTAGTGTTTCATATATCAAGCTTGAAGAGGTTCAAAAACACTGAATGATAAAAACATGAGAATTCAAGAAACTTTATTTTCAAAACTTTAAGCAATTTTTGACAGCAGCAACCCTTCCTGCAAATAACGGCATCATGTATTTCACTTGTAAAAGGACACCACAGATGCAAGAAGTTTGTATCACCTTGAAGGGAGACAGGCATTTAGAACAAAGATCCATTCTGGTTTACTAAGCAAACACATGCAACTCCTTGAACTGAAAAAATTCATACATTTTGCCCGGTTCTTAACTTTTCCATGTGGGCCTGCCTGTGGTCACCAGTGGCGACAGAATACTGCTCTACACGTTAATTTGCCCTGCAATATTACATTCATTCTTATCTTTAGTTTATTGAGCTAATTTACCTGTGTAGCTACTCAAAGTTGGCAAGCAAATTTGGACCTTAAGAAGCAGGAAAACTCACTTCTTATTTAGAAACACAGACAAATGCCTACCAGTTCTAAGATACTGAAGAACAAGAGGACCAAAACCAATAGTTCAATTCCCACTTTTCAAAACATAATTTGATAAGTTTGCCGTAAAAGCACCTCATCTAGGTCATAATAGTTCAAGTAAATTATCAACTAGTCTCATATACAGATTCAGATACTTTTAATCAACACCATAGTAAGCAAATACATTTTATTTAGATAGATTTTATTTTAGGCACTGTCTTGCACACACAGTCTTTCTTCTCCACCTTTTGACTACTACAGCCATTTCTTACTCATGTTTAGAATAACATTTTAATGTCTTTGAACAGAACTATCATACTACAGAAAACTCTGACATACTTTGGGTACCATAGGAAAAAAAAAAAATCCACTTTACAAAGACTATGGCTTCCTTTAGAATCTTGATTATCTTATCCCATAGCAGGGTTCAGTGTCATCAAAACAGCATCAAGTTTTCCACAGTGTTAAAAATGACAAAAAACACATAATCTTTTAAGGACAGTTAAGAGAGCACTATTATTCTGCCTCCACAAAGCTTTTAAGATTAAAATGATAGCTAGCTTTTCTTAAACCAGTTACAGTTTTAACATGTATAAAATTTCAGGTTCACTTTTATATGTTGTCAGAAGATGACTATTTTTATGCTAAAAAGATGAAATCTGACATTTCCTACTGCAGAAGATTAGCATTTTCTTTTTTCTGGCTTACCAATGAAAAACTCTGTTTATGGCTATTTTCAGGATTGCACAGACAGTATAGCCACTCCTATGGCATCCTTGTGTTTTGTCATTAGAAGGACGCAGAGAAAAGCCTGGCATCAAGGACAGCATGCTGAGCGAACAACTCGTGAAGGTCCCACATACAGCTAGATTAGCCTGTGGACAGATTCCAAAAAAATTAGATGGGGCGGAAGGGAATAATACATTTACAGTCAACCCAGCCTATTTCCTAGACTGAACACTAAAGGGCTTCTAATTCAAAGCAATAGCGAGCGATGCACTAATAGTAACATCTCAGACCAGCACAGCCATTAGATCACACCTTTGTCCACACTGTAGCAAGAACACAGTGAACCCAGCACACCAACCTGGTACCACTCAGTAGAGCTGGTCTCTTCAACAATAAAAAGAAATTGCTGCTTTGAAACAGGAAGCAATTCATTTTTTTGTACTCACATTTAGCATTTCCCTCCTACACACCAATGGGCAATGTCTCGGGTCAGTTATACATTCATTGCAGAAATTATAATGAGATGAAAAGATTTTTCTGCAAGATGATTGTATTGCAAACTCTCCATTATGTCAAAACCTCAGATGCAGCAATATTCAAGTTCAAAATGTCTCGTACCTTTGGCACAGTCCCTGCTTTTACTTGGCTCATGGGAGCCAAGACCCAGTAATTGGGTAAACACAACAAAAACTGAGGTAAATTAAACCATTGTACCAGAAGAGACCAAAACAGCCCAATTTCCTCCCCGGCAGCCAAAGGCAAGTGACACCGGCAGTGGAAAGGCAGCTCAAGTTGTACATTCCATAGTTTTGCCAGAACTGACTGAGGACAGTGATCCTACTCCACTGCTCAATAAAAATCAGAAATGTCTGCTGAACATGTGTGTATTTTCCGTGCTGTCCTGAGGCACAGACTGCATTAAGCACTAGGTAGGAACACTTAACAGGGGTTGTTTAAGATTTAACAAGTGACAGGTTCCTGGCTGTCAGATTCTTTTTTATTTACAATTGCAACTTCTAGAACCAGTCGAGTCTCCAGTTTAAATCAAGTATTTATTAGATAAGTAGTTATCAACCTTATGTCAGTATCACTCAACCTCACTCATTGTTCTCCTTTTCCTTCACCAGGGAAAAAGAAAAAAAATCTCAAAAATATCTATGAATGCCATATACATATCATAAACACTCAAAGAAAAAAAAAATCCTATAAAGGTGCTCAGCTTCCCAATTTCAAAAACATTTCATACTACCTTCAATCAGCTAACTCTGCAAAAATTAGTCACGTACGTATTTGCTAATATAAGACTGCACAGCCTTTCTTCCTCAAAGTAAAGGTACATCATTCGTTTTATAAAAATTACTTTAATCATTTGCATAAATAAATCAGTACTGTACATTCTGTTGGTTAAATTCACAAATGTACCTTATATCAAACAGCACTATTGCCATGCAGCTATACTACCACTTTTTAGTGGCTCCATTTCATTTGGTTTTCTCACTTGAAATATTAGGGATACAAATGTCAGAAAGAGAGACTGGTATGTGATAATGCTGGGAACCACTGACCTCAAACAGACTTTTTTGTTGTTGTCATTATTATTATCATTATTTTTTAAAGACTTTCCAAAAGTGACAAAACAGGAATTTCTCCAATAGTCTTCAGTTTGCTTTGGCATTGAGGTTTTCTTTGAAATATCCGATGATGGATTTTGGCTCACCATGCTTAACATATAAGAGGTCTGACTATGGTTATAGGCAGATGTTAAAACTCAGACCCACAGGTGAAAAAGTATATAAAAGAAAAAGGACACCTATTTCCTTTTTTCACCCCTGCTTTCAAAACTAAACCAACAATTGAAGTGTTTAAGCCAAAGAAGTTACAGTAAAATCATTCTCCAACTTTACAAATCAGATCTAAAAGAATGCTTTTCTTACAGCATGTGAGATGCCTTCTTTAACAGTGTACTGAAAAGTGACTGATAAAAAAGAAACAGCAAGCTTTTTAAAAGTTACACTACTTCCATAATAGTGTAAGTTACTTCTCTGTACTACGTATATGCATTGTACAGTTACATAAGACACTAAAGCTTGAAATGAACAGAAAAATTACAACAATCATTCTCCCAGCTATTGCTATTCTCACACATACTAAGAACATTAAATTCTTACAGAAAGAGTAAATAAAACTCAAATGATCAGTTCAGGGTCACAGGAAAAAAATTCAGGGACAAATGAAGAACTGGCATTCCAGGCATGAGCTCAAAGTACTAGATGCTACCACTCTGTACTGGATACCTTGAAAACTTTATTTCTCTTCCTCCACAAGCACTTTGCTTTTTACAGGGACCTGTGAACACTTCCCAGTTACAATTGGGGCAAA